TCAAAGTTGTCCAGGGTCAATAACCTATGTGAAGCTGCATAGCAAGCAAAAAGGGAATACAAGGAGCAGCGGTTCTGAGGAAACTTGTCCATATTATGATTGTGTCTTCAAGAGAAATATTAATACTCCTGATTTTAAAGATTTTGTTTTGGCCTAAATTCTATCTACCATGGCTCATCCTTTCTATCTGGCATGACTCTCCCAGTTCTGAGCAGCACCAACAAGGCACCGAGCCTACAATTTTCTGCTTGTTTAGGTTTCAAAATATCTTGACTTCCCAGTCCCACACCAGGGAACCGTTAACAAGTGAAAAACAATCTGCAACCTTGGTTCATTTCTCCTTGCCATGCTGTATATACCAGGAAATCTTTCTAATAGCAAGCACTGCACTGGACATCCCCTGGAAATTTCACAAAACAGCCCCTTTCAATCTTGAAATAGAAGCTTTGTTTAGGGTATCTAGTTCAAATAGCATGATTGATCACATTGTAGAATTGGCAATTTGGATCCACGTTTTGTCTCCAATTCTGTCTCATATATATATAGAGATATAGAAAAAAGGAAATCGAAGCTTCCCTAGCACCTGTTGAAATCCTTCCAAATCCACTTCTAGAGGGCATTTGTTGTGTGTTCTCTTACCTTCTATTTTTAAGCATGTGTGGTCCTCCGTATATGTTGAATTTGTAATTAATTTTTTTAGTGACTTGGATAATTATGTGCATCATTAGTGGCAAGGACAAATAGCAAACTACTGTTTGTGACAGCCTCGTTGGCATGCCTGATCACATTGTAATTGACGAATGAAGTGATGTAATCATTCTCATACATGGTGCTTTGTGACTGGTGGTTTCTTAATCTTTTATTTTTAGGTACTTTTGCCGTGCCACAGAAATCTTCCATGATTGAATATTCTTTTATATTTCTACTTTAAATCTTGTTTTGATCTTTATCTATCTTTTATTCAACAATCTAGGTGGAAGTTAAGTTCTTATTCTTGTAGTTCCCATTTTTAAGTTCTTTTTGAACACATTTCTTTTTCCCTTTCTAGACTTGTGAGTTCATCAAACTTCATCTTGTGTATAGTGGCTCTAATAGCAGCATTGTGACTGCAGGTTCATTGTGGGAATGGAAAGGCATTCTCATAAGGAATTTGGGATTTTTCCTTGACATGGCAACACTAATAATGGCCCTTGGTCATTATGTGCATATTTGGTGGCTTCGTGGCATGGCATTCCATCTTGTGGATGCAGTACTTTTCTTGAATATTCGTGTAAACATTCCTTTTGAATTTTCAATTTGAAGTTTTTTGCCCTTCTTTACTAAATTATTGAGCATCCTCAGGCTGTTCTTTGTAGCCCTTATTTCAGTTGTTTTGAGCAGGCATTACTAAGTGCAATTCTGAAGCGTATAAAAGGATTTATCAAACTGAAAGTTGCCCTGGGGGCCCTTCATGCAGCACTTCCTGATGCAACATGTGAAGAGCTACGGGCATATGATGATGAATGTGCTATTTGTCGGGTATGCTTCAGTCATGTTATAGTTTTTATTTCTTATTTTTTGGTTAATTTTTCACATTTTACCTCTTCAAATTACAGGAACCCATGGCTAAGGCTAAAAGGTTAAACTGTAATCACCTTTTCCATCTGGCATGCTTGCGTTCTTGGTATGTTTATTTGTTCGACAGTCTCAGCATGTGAAGTTTTAAATGGTTTAATCTATTGCTGATATTTGTCTTAAAATGGCAGGTTAGATCAAGGTTTAAATGATGTTTACTCTTGTCCCACCTGTCGAAAGCCACTTTTTGCTGGTAGACCTGAAAATGAATCAAACCCTCGTACTGGTGAAATTTCAACTGACGAGCAGTTAGCTCGACAGCTTGATAGGCAAAATAATTCCAGACATACTCTGCCCACTGGGGTATTCCCTAATCAGATGCATAATTCTATGGAAGGTGGTCCTTGGAGGTCAGGTTTAAATTTAGTTTCACTTGCTTTAAAAATATACTTGTGTCTTTATAATTTATTGAAATTCACTAGACTTGCATTAAAGCATTGGGACTCTAATTAGTTTTTCTTAGTGAGGAAAATTCTTATTCTTATCTTCTGAGGATGTTGTGAGTCCTCAATATGGTAACAAGGAGCCAACACTGTTATTAAAAACTTATAATTCATAAGTTGAATCTTACAGTTCAAATCGAGTTAGTAATAATATGATCAAAATCTTATGGGCAAATAACAATCAATCGGGAATCAATCACTTGATTTGATTTAATATTTTTCTATTCACTGTAATCTAGTTAAAACTAATCTACTCAAATATTTAGATAACTTATTTTATTTAATTATAAATACAATCTTTACACAATTTTTTAATGTATATACTTTTAGGTCTATAATATTAGTACTAATTTCTTAAAATTTTTAATTTTTCTTTAAAATTTGTACACAAATGATAATGAATTTTGATTAGTAAGTGGTACTCTAAATCTTACAATGCGATTCAATTCATGATTCTTAGTTGAAAGTTAAGTTCTCAATTCGTAGTTCTGCTTTAGATTCAACAACTATGGGAACAAGAGTAGATGATTATTAGTTATGTTTAATTTAGTGTTTTTTCGCAATATGATTAAGATGTTTTTATTTTTGAAAATAATGTGTAAAGTTATAAGTATAGTTTTTTATGTTTAGATTTTTATTATCATTTAGTTAGGTAGTACACTTCTCTATAGTTGGGCATTTTAGTAGTTCTTAAACGCATTACGAGTGGGATGAGTTTTATTTTAATGGACTGAATGGAAATGGGAAAAAAGAATTGGTAGAATGTCCTTCAAAGTTTTTGCATTCTTCATCCTCCGAGGTTGTTGGGATTTCTATAATGAGTTCTTTTATTCAAAATAGACCCTAAAGGCAGAAACCCTAAGTACTCTTCTTAGTTTCTCCTAGATTTTCCTAAGTTGACCCATAACTAGATCACAAACCTAGGGACCATACAAATTTCTATTAGAGCAGGAAGTTAAGGGAGATCTCCATACCCTTTAGCAACAATTTGAGGCCTTCTTGAAGCTGTACAAGAAGATCATGCAAGAGGCAATGTTGGAGAGAACAAGTTCGTACAGCATGAGGCCAAACAGCAGGAGTTGGCTCCCAGTTGGAGGAACTCTCTCAATCCTTATCTGTACAAAGCTGGACACTAGGGATTGGGGTGTGGCAGTATCAACAAAGGGAGGTGGGACTGGTGTAGGAGCAAAAGATATAGACGAGGCTGCTTATGTTCCTAACTATTCAAAATTAGATTTTTCCTCATTTTGATGGAAATGTTGATCCATAAGTGTGGCTGAGCTGCTGTGAGCATTTCTTCCCCCTGATGAATTCTCCTACTCTTTTTTGCACTTGAGAACAAGCGTCTCTCTCAGGGGGAAAGTGATATTATGTGTCCTCAGCCAGTTAGTAGGAGAATTCATCAGGGATGGTTGATGACAGCTGTGTTTAATTTTATTTCTTTTTTTAAAAAAACAGTTAAGTTAGGTAATGCAGTTTCTTGTTTTTAGTTTTTTAATGCAATTTTGTTAGTCAGTATAATAAGTCAGTTTAGCTGTTTCCTGAAATTTTCTAGGTGTCCGTGAGTGGGTAAAATCATATTAAAAATTAGGCCCCGCAGGGTATAGCTTCATCGAGTATGCAGTTCAATAAATTTTGAATGCACTTAACTGCCATCGATTGTGCAATTAGGACAGCTATTCATTCAGTTAAATGAAGTGATGCTTTCACATGGCCTATTTCTCCTGTTTTATTTCATTTTCTCTTCTTTTTCTACCTTTGCTCCATAGGAGTACCGAATTGGATTCAACTTGGCTGCATACTTGGCCTAGCCAGGGTGCTGATGGAGCTGGTCCCTCTAACGCGATCAGGTCAGTTGGTTTAGGAAGAGTTCAGATGATGATGAGGCATCTTGCATCAGTTGGAGAAACCTATGCCCAGACTGCCCTAGAAGAAGCTGCTTGGAGCCTTTGGCCAATGAATCCGGCGCAGGCATCAGCATCTAGTTCACCAATTCCTCCTGCTATTGGTGGAAGATACCCAGGGAACTCTGGTGGTTTACATATAAGGACTACCACTAGAATGGGAAATGAAACTATAGCAAATATACTTGCAATGGCTGAGACTGTGAGAGAGGTTTTGCCTCATGTGCCAGATGAGATGATTTTCCAGGTATATTTCGGCTATTTTTATGAATTTACATAATTTGGGTTTAGTAATTGTCAATAATTCATTATTGCTAGTTAATATTGTTGCCCTTTTATATATTTGATGCAGTAATAGGGGCATATCTTTAATTTTCAACTTTGCATGATCATAAAATTCATACACAATGATAATGGCTCAGGTGGGGAGAGGGGGTAAATTATAAAATTTAGAAGCTGATAATGACCTTAAAATGGGTGTTGCATGACTATTAGCATTATCTTCCTTCATGACCGCATGCGATGAAAAATGTGTTGCATGACTATAGTTCATCTTCTGATGTCCAATGGTATTTCAGTTTTTGCTAAAAAAATCTAGGTTTTAAATGATGTTAGTAGATATCCATCTATGGTCCGACTCATCAGCGTCCATTTATTAAAGAATCCGATGAATTGCGTTTTGCAGGACTTGCAGCGAACAAATTCAGTTACTGTTACTGTGAATAACCTCCTCCAAATGTGATAATGCAGTTCATTGCGTTTTCTGTTGTCATGTTCTTTCATTTGAAATTTAGAAGTTTGGCAGAGGCCACTTGTTGAAATTTAGCTCACAGATTTCTCGCAATGTTTTTGTTCTTGCAAATATTTGGAAGCGTCATTCTGTGTCTTAATTCTTACAAATATTCAGAAACTTCATTCTGTATATAAATGCCTCTCACAACAACAGTTCCTATGGAAAGGTGGAAAAGATGCAAATTCCCTTTGTTGTTTTCCGAGGAAATAGAAAAGAAAAAAAGATACTCTCTGTATACGAACTGGCTGTTCATAATTGTGGTTCTGATCCTGCTTTGGCTTCATTCTCCGGCAACAGTTGTCACTTGAGATCAGTTTGTTTCGAAGTCTTTGATGATTTACTTGAGACCACCGTCTTGAAAATGTATAATTTAGAAATAAATGGAAGATGTTATTGTTGTTGAATATTTGACTATTGAGCAAAGTAGTTTTATTTAGTAGCTAAGTTAAACTACACACACACACACACACATATTATTACCTCAGAAATAGAGGAGTCAATCACCTCCTACATTTTTGTTGTATTGAAGAATTTCGTAAGATGGACAGTGGATTTACTTCTTGGAAGTTAAATGTGTCCAGACATATCTACGGCTACTATCTGTTTGGTTAACTATGATATTACACATTTTATATAAATAAAACGCTATATTATTACACCGTATAGCATCAAATCATAATTTACTCGGTTTGCAAGATTCATATTTCCGAAGCTCAGTGACGAGTGGCGACAAATAACATCCTCGTATTTGTCTCTGGTTTTTTAATGCTTTCCTTGCAGCTATTCTTTTCCTCTAGAAAAAAAAAAAATAGAAGCAGAAGGGTAGTAGAAAATCGTCAGTGTGTATACATGTATGCACGTATAGAATAAAGCCAAAAGTAAAACGCCGCCGTGCAGACAACGGGGCGGGACCGAGGAAGAATGCAGGGGATTTTAGCAGACAAGTTGAATTGGGGTTTGTGCCGTCGAACTCCGATGCTTCGTTGCCGCGCCGTCTTTCCGAGTCGTCACGAAACACTAGTCTTCCTCTGACCTGAACTATATACCATGAATTCAAATTCTGCAACTAAACTATTCAACGCTTTTTTGTTGCGTATATATTCAAAACGTATATAATAGCATCAAAGACATGTGCTTATATAATAATTTACTTGTATTTATCGGCCCAAGATATATGTAAAATAAATATATAGTATGGTGAATTAAGTCGCGGCATAAAACAATGGTAATTGGTGATTAGGTACGTAAATATTATAAAAAAATGGTGAGAGCAAGAAACACGGAGCCTGACAGGCATGAAACCCGTCGAGAATTGGAGTTTACCCACTTGGCTATCTTTTGTAAGTCTCGTATCTCTCTGACTGTTTATACCTAAATTTTTGAACGCAGGTTTTCTGTTTTCTAACATTGTTACTGTGGGCTTTTTGACTACATTCTCTCTTGTGTTCTGCAATTCGTTCCTTTCTTTTTTTTTTTTTATAATTCCCACTATTAGTAATTAACTAATTAACATCTGCTTATATATATATATATATGTGTGTGTGTGTGTGTGTGTATAGTAGCTGCTGGAACATTATATATTTATTGGTAAATCTAATTGGTTTCTTTTTTAAAAAAATTCTCAATCCGGTGGAAGCAAGAATTTGCATGAGTGTCTGAAACATTTTGTTTGGTAATAGGACCACTGTTGTCAAGTAATATTCTGTCAATTAGATTGGTCTACCGTTATTGACAAAAAAAAAAAAAGAAAGGTTATTTAAGTAACTTCCTTTTATTTTTGTTTAAATTACTTTTCATTTTGTCTCTTTGAATATTTTTACTTTTCAAACAATTAGTAATAATTTTTCTATGGATTGTTGCGATTAAAAATTTATATTTTATTATAAATAAAAAAAAATGCAATAATTACATTTATGATATGTGGGATTCATTATATCCAAATAATAATTTAGGAGTTAATTAAATATATAAAAGTTGGGTTGGGAAATTTAATATATTCCTCGATTTTCCCACCGTCTCTCTTCGCATAATTGTGTCTGGGAACACAGTAGATCTCGCGATTGGCAGCTTGTTGGGGTTGTTAAACGGTATCGTCTCATGTGGGGACCCGACCCGAAATCCAATTTAATTAAGAGGAGACAAGAGGGAACTCAACGCTATTCATCGTTTTCCTCGTGTATTGTAAGTCTATCATCCCTCCACTTCATTGGAGGGAGTCACCATTTATGTATACATATACATTTATATTATGTTTCTTCGCTTATATACGTATTGCATATATATATATATATAGTTAGCATGTTTTTAGCTTCTTGAGTTCTGTAGTACCCCTGGAACATATGTAGAGAAGCTCTAGCTCCATTCTAACCATGCATTCCACCATATCTACGCTTTTCGTCTTCCTCTTCCTCCTTTCGTTTTTCCATGCATGTGCCGCTCGCCATTTTCGACCAAGTGAGGATTCCTCTACTTGCTCCAAGGTCCATTTTCATCCCTCCTCCCTCCCTTTCTCTCTCTCTCTCTCTCTCTACATGTGCATATATATTTACATGTATATAATATGTACGTATGTATAAATTTGGATGGTACTGGTATGTTGCAGGGATTTGAGAACGTTAATCATCATCAACAGAAAATAGATCCATTAATATCGGAAGAAGATGATGATGGACAAGAAGGTACTGATGCGGGTGCAATGATGCAAGAAGAAGCCGATAAGGAGACATCGAGCTCAGAATTCATCAATGGAGTAAAGAAGAAAATGAGTAACAAAGGAGAAATATCGTCAGGTGTTTCTTGGCACGTTCCTCGCAACAATCACCACAATGAGCTCATCCCTGGCTTTTTCTCAGATTATTCAAACCCAAGAACTCGTCCTCCTTCACATAATTGAATTATGTATATTATATACGTAATATATATCTTCATCTGGAGTTTCTTTCCTTTTCTAGACATTCATTTTCAGTTTCAACCTTTACCAGTTAACATATGTATACGTACTAATAGAGCTAACTTTATATTCATAAGGCTGGAACATGCAGGAATTGATGAGAAATTCTCTAAATTCTCTAGTAACGTGGGTTTGCTTAAGCCACCAAGATTGATGGAGGTAAACTTCAATACTACCGGTATATATATGTATGTATGTGTGTATATATATATATATATATGGCTATGAGCAGGTGGTTGGGTCTTATAGTACCAAAAGCGAAAAGTGATAACGATGAAAAGATCAGGGTTATGCATATATACGATCCATCTTCCATGTGATCTGCAGGAGACTTTATAATAAACAATTTCTTTTTGTAAATGTATTAGTTCCAATATTTTTAATTAGATAATTAAGAATTATTTTTAATTAATCAGATATATTTTTAATAAAATTTAAAAATAAACTCAAAGTATCCTAACATTTAAATTTTTTTTTAAAAAATTAATTAGTGATGTGGGTAAGAGGAGGAAGTCAAAAGTCAAGCGTCAAGCGTCAACCATCACATATATGCTATAAAACGCTCTGTGTATAACTTCCGTACACCATTGTAGCCATCTTTTCCCAAATCTCTACTGTTCTTCTCCACCCACCAACCGGCCCCACCAATACATACACTCCATATGCTTATAAAAATGACGAAGACCTACTCAATTTTGCAGAAGAGATTGCATGAACTCGAGGCTCTTCTCAACAAAGCCCTTTCTCTCCCCCTCGAACATCGTCCCACTCAGACCTACTCTCAAGATATCCAACAACGATTCATCTTCCTCAACAACCTCCTCACCGCCGAGATCGCCTCCAACCCCAAGCGCCCTCACCACTTGCCCCACATTGCCCGACGGCTGACGACGCTCCAGTCAGCCTTTAACGACTGGCTCTCTTCGGAACCGGCGCAGCCCGACCACGCGGAGACGGCGTCGACTTGTTCTTGCACCGAGTCTTGTGTAAACGACGACGGAGATGAAGCGGCGTCTAATATGAGCGATGAGGAGGAGGTTTTCTTCGAGGACGAGACGGCTGAGGGTGAGGAAGAGGAGGGGAAGAAGATGATGGTGAAGAGAGAAGAGAAGGAGATGAAGAGGTGTTTGTTGGTTCGGAGAATTGGGGTTTTGGGTGGTGGGTTCTTGGTTGTAGCAGGTTTGATGGGTTATGTCGTTTTATTATTTTCTGGTTGTCTTCATGTTGCACAGCATCAGTCTTTTCTTACTCCTACTTGACTCACGTACATTCATGTGGTTGTGTGTGTGTGTGTGTTCTCATCTGTTTAATATATTCATATTGCTGTTTTTCGCTTTCTTGTATTGTAGTGAATCTGGGATGAAAGTGAGATTGATCCTTCACCATTAAATTAAACGTTGTCGATTCAATAAGAAAACTCTTTGTTTCATATAGTTTCTGGGTCTCGAAACGAAAAAGTACAAGTTGTAAATCTTCGACTAAATAAATTTACAGATTATCGTTATCTATAATGAAAGAAAACACTTGTCAATATTTCAAGAAAATCATAAAATTGAACTTGTTCGCTTTCCAATTCAAACTGGGCTGCATCAATGCCCCATAGAAGGTAAGTGTCCGTACATTGCTTGCATGTATTTTAAAACGAAAATCGAAATTCTATCATCGTAGCCGCAACTCACGTGGGGTCACATCTCACGCCTCGCCATCATGTTGTAATCGCACTACCAGATTCCCTTGTCCCCTGTAAATTTTAAACCATTCCGAGGACATTTCCGTCTATTCACAACACCAGTTATGCGGCGAACCTCCTTTCTTTATCCTCCCCGACTCACATCGCAGCTGTTTTAATGGCTTTGAAATTCCAGTAATACCCCTCTTCCACTCTTTTTTTGACTTCCTCGTTTTGATTCACAGCTTTGTCCGCTTCTGCTGCCAAGCATTGAGCCAGTTTTCTTTAATAATAAGGCTATGAAGATTGGTTCATGGTGACTTTCCCACTTCAACCCTAACTCCTTCCCTTTCAGCATTCACTGGTTCGCTCGGTAACTCAAACAATCATGAGCCGATTCAGGAGTATTGAGATCACAGACCCTTTCTTCCCTCCCGTCTTCACCAGAGAGATCTCCATTTTCGCGCCAAAATCCCTAGTTTTTCCCTCATTTGTGGAAGAAGAGCGCGATTTCAGCTTCGCTCTTGATCTCTTAAACCCCTGCCCTAACCCTGACCCCTTTCAACTCTTCGACACCGTCACTGATCTGATCCAAATTGAGCGAACGCCCTCGCTTTGCTCCTACAAGCGGATCCAGAAGCGGGCGGTGCCTGATTTTGCACTGCAAACACTATGCGACCGAGTGTCTGCGCTCGAATCGAAGTTCGACCGGCTTGTCAGCTCGAGGACCTGCGGCGTGAACCGAAAGTACACATGGACAGCTGAGATCGACGGGCCCGTTGAACGTAAGTATAAATGGACGGCGGAGATCAAGGAAGGGAAGAAGAAGAAAGAGGACGAGGAGGTTGTCGTGGTGAAAAAGGCGCCGATTGGGAAGAAAAACTATAAATGGACGGCTGAGATTAAGGGGGAGAAAGAGGATGGAGGGGTCTCACGGACCTACACCTTCAAAGCATCAAGTGGCGATTATGCCAATGAGTGTACCAAGTTGGAGAAGAAGGAAAAGAAACACAAGAAAAAGGAGAAGAAAGAAGAGAGCGAGACGCGTGTGGTGGAGATTGAAGAAGGGTCTCCTGATCATGGGGTTATCGTTTTGAGACAGGTATACAGACTTATCACTTTCTTGCCTTGGTTGAAACTAGAGTATTTCTACATTTTTGTTCTGGGATGATATTTTTTTTAGTTCTGTTTTGACATTTAGTGTAAGGCATATGTCGATCTTCTTACATTTCAGTGGTTGGGTTGTGGGTCAATTATAATGCATCTTGGATTTTGAAAATGATAATATATATAATGCAGCTTGGTTCTTTGGCACTGTACTGTCTCTATCGGGGTTTCTTAGTGGCTAATTAATAATATGTAAAACTGCTATTTTTCTACTACATGAAATTTAATGATGTATAAGTGGCAACAAAGATATGAAATGCTATTAGTGCAGATTTAATTATTCAAATATTAATATTGGAATAGAATTGAAGAAATTTTCAAATTTTAAGAATTTTTTTTTATTTTAGTGTCTGCAGTTCGGATATCCTTCATGTGAATCTATGGTTCTGTTCCTAAAACAACAGTAAATATATCCATTTTCGTGCACCAAATGGCCATTGTTTGGAGTATCATGCACTGGAGATAGTAGTTTTAGTACTAAAGCATGTCAAGCTTTAAAACTTCTAAAATTTTCTTCTGATTTAATTTTAAATTGGCTATTATACATGGTTAAATTCGTTGTATATAATGCTTCATTCAACTCTGCCCCTTAGATGATATCTATGGCTGTGTCATGCGTGTTCTCTTTTCATATAGCTCATCTCCGAGGAGACCAGGCCTATAGCTTATTTTCTTAGGCAAGAGGTGATTTCCTTTAGTTACCTGCTTTTGAAAGGTGTATGTGGATTTTGAAACAGTAAAGGAGTTTAATTTAGGAGAATGTAAGTGTGCATCATACCGAAGTGTCATGGAGGAGCCAAAGTGCAAGTTTATACTTCTGGAATTGTTGGAATTTTCGGACAAATTAAGTTTTATGTAAGTGAAGGATTCGTTGATTATGTTTTATGGAAAAGGTCATTTCTTAAGAGTGTTGGGGATGTTATGTTTTCTTCTATATGCTGTGATTTCGTGTCACCAGGGGAAACACTTGTTAGCCTGTGCGTAGTACCATTTTATGAAGGGCATATTAACTTAAGTGTACTTTTAACTTTTACCTCAATTGGCATTGTATACTTACAATTGCATCAAGTTACACCCAATAGTTTGCGAGTATCTAACAATAGCACCATATACTCTAATTTTGTTAGTTTCCACCTTAAGAAGATCTACAATAGGCCTTTCTGTTATTGTTGGATAAATGTTTTCCATATTTTCCAATTATGGTCATTAGTGAAAACACAAATGTAAATTTTGAAGCCTTTATTAGTTGTACTCACTAGAGTCATAGTGTGCAAATGGTGTAAATATTCTTTTCTAGCATGGTTGGTGGATGCTAGAGAATGTTTATTTCCATGTATCTGATGTTAAGGAATCTTTTATAACATCTTCTCAAAAGGAATCTCTTAGAATATGAACAGGTAAAAGTTTGGGTTTGTAATTCATTTGCTTTCCGCAATATAAAGGTTCAAGATTAAATGTAGTTTTCATGGTTATAAGAGTAGATATGTAGACTTTTATTTTGAAATTAAAAGCTAATGAAATATTCCACATGCGTTACCATTTAGTAATCTACATTTTTGGATAATATAATGGTACAACTGATGAATATAATAGAATGCTAGATTATGGAAATCTTAAAGCATAAGTTTTCAACTGACAAAAATAGAAAAAAATTTATACTATTTTTGATATTTTGAAATGCAAAGTGTAAATTGGGTGTAATTTGAGTCCATAATACGAGCTTATGGTTTTTTTATATTAAAAAGTAATGTCCGGGAGATTTTGATTTGTGAATCTTTTCACACATAGCTAGTTCCAATTTGATCTTTGTGCTGCTATTTACGTTCTTTCTGTTGTTTTGAAGCATTTTTAGTTGGTTATCTTTTTTTTGAAATGAATTTTTAGTTGGTTATCTTAGCTACTGTTTCTGTACATTCTCTTTCCTTCCTTAATAAAGCTTCTCTTTCTATTAAAAAAATATTTTGATACATAGTTTTCGGAGTTTAGCCATATATTTGACTGTTTAATGGTTTCTTAGTGGCAATCCTTGTAAAAGCTTAAATGTTTAAAAGAAAAGATCTAAAGTTAGTTTGGTAATATTATTTCGGAAAAAAAAAAAAAGTTAGTTTGGTAATGTTGGTTGAACTTCTGTTGTTACGATGAAACCTTTTGTGGAGAATTGGAATCTCATTATCTCATAAGTGCATCATCTAAACCTTCTTTTGTGGAGTATTGGAATCTCATTATCTCGTGAGTGAATCATCTAATCTATTGGGCTTAAACTATTCTGTATTTGATCTGAACTAACAACTGGATTTTATACTATTGAGTTTGCAATTGAAAAAAAATCTTTCCCTCAATGCTCATCTAATCATTTTGTTGAAAACAATATTTTTTTTCTCTTATACTGTGGAAAAAGGCTTTTGCCAAGAGAGCTGGAGCTATTAAGAACAGGAAGGGTAAGAAAAAGGAATTGTCTCCACAAGATGCTGCATTGACGATCCAGTTGACTTTCAGAGCTTATCTGATTCGTAGATCAAAGGCTTTACGGGCACTTAGGGAGTTGGCAATTGCAAAGACGAAGTTGAAAGAGATTAGAGCCTTATTCAACAACTTCTCTTACCGCCGTCGTGTATCCCGAGATGCAGAGGAGCGGCAGAGGTTTTCTGAGAAAATTATTGTTCTCCTCCTAACTGTTGACGCCATTGAGGTAACAAAATCTTTCTCCCTTATCTGTCTACTTATGGATTTCTGTTTGATGTCAATGTTATTTGTTCCACTTCATTAATTTTAGGTGGCGTTGGATAATTAATCTGCTCTAACTGTTTAAGAATTATCAACTCAAGAAAAATCCATGCAATTGTACATTCCAGACTTCCTAGTAGTGGTGCATACGTGTTTAATTATAGGAACGAAGTGTCTGGCAGCAACCCAGCAGAATCGGTCCTCAGTTACTTAGCTAATTGTGGTTAATTAGTTACAATCCTAGGATTAGTTACATTGTGGCCCTTAGTACTGCCTCTGGCAGATTTGATTTTCTGTTTTTACTTTTCTGCAGATTTGCCTTTTACTTTTCTGTTATTGCTTGTTTGTTTTTATCAAAGTAGGGAATGAGTATAAAAGAGCAAGGAAACACAAAATGAAAACAACAAGAAACACTTACCTAAATTTCATAACAGAATGAGCAACGTTTGTCTATCTTTTCTCTACTCTCTTCTTTCCTTCTTCTCTTCTTCTTTCTCCACCCTAAATGTAAACCTAGATTTCTTCTCTAACCAGATTCAGGATCAAGGGTCCTGAAACAAAGTTAGGGATTGTTCATAAAATATTGTTAGGTTAGAATTAACGATGTATCATGTAATGTTTGTGTTTGTTCCATTTGGTACACTTCCAAATGGTTTCAAGAACATCAGAACAGAAATTAAAATTTGCTCTGCCAAATGCGTATTTTTTAGATGGAAAGGAATTATCATTAGGTGTTAAGGAGGTATCGCCCATGGTAAACTGTTGAACATGTTGAAAGCTTGAGACTGTGATTATTCCATCTAATCTTAGTTGGCATTAATCTTTGCTTGCTCCAAACTGATAACAGCGCTATTGTGGACCATCTTCTTTTTTTGTAAAAGAAAAAGGCTTTTATAACATCAGGAGTTATTTTTTATATTGTTAATATTAATCTGTTACTATATATTTATTTCAAAAAAAAAAAAAAACATTATGAGCGATGCAAATGCCATACATATACTTGATATCTAGAAACCAGAGTTTGGCGATTGTCTAATTCTTAAATTTTGCAAGAGTTCCTTGTATCCGTTGTTATTCTAAATCTTCCACCGAGCAAATTCCGGACCTTTTTCTCCATACCTTAGTACTCTTTATCACATTAGGACTGTACAAATGGAAAATGCCACAGGTGTAGTTTTACATTCAGAAATCTGAATTGGATTTTTAACTTTTGCAAGGAGTTCATCTTGCAATCAAACTGCATATTATTTGGAACCCTTTAACCAAGTTGGTTTTGATGTGTTATATAGGGAGCTGACGTAATGGTGCGAGCTGCAAAGAGATCAATGGTTGATGAATTGGAAGCAATGCTTGATGTGGTGGATCCCCAGCCCCTGGGGAAGTCACTTTCCATGAAGAGGAGGACATTCGACATGCCTGATAGTGTCATTCGGAAGGAAATTGCAGATGGAGTGGCACAGGTTGTTCAACTGCTTGAAGGCGAGGAAAATAGTGCCGAATATATTGGTGCATAAGAACTCAGGTGTCAAAACAAGTAATCTCTGTTTAACGTTCCTGCTTTTCTGGTTTAAGACGTAACCCCCTAGTTTTCGGTTGGAGAAGATCCAAAAGGCATTAGCTGTTTCCCTTTGCGTTGTAGAGCGAGTGCATGTATTGCCTGAACTTTCTTCGATTAGGTTGAAGAAAGTTGTTGTAAACTGGTTTTTATGTGTTTGTACCGTTTGAAAGCTTAAATATTTGTATTCCGAGTTCTCAAACTTCAAAAGCACTATTTAGCCTTCGGCGTGAAGCCAAGATGTTGAAATAGCCCTGTGCTGCTTGATCATTTTTAGTTTTGACTGAATATGATATATGCCCTACTCTTACTGCCAAAGTTGGGCAAATGTCAAATCCATTAATTTTGATTCATTAAACAATTTAATGACATTTAATTACTAATTCATGGTTGTTTAATGAATGATTAAAACGAATACAAAACATTTATTTATTTTTTATTCGCAGACGAAAAAGTAAGCAGCCCTTGAGCTTGAAAGCAGCCAGTCCCTATTCAGTGGCAGCAGCCGGGTACTTTCAAATAAAGTTGTCACTCTGCCACTTCCTTATTTTGGTGTGCGGCCTACAGTTTTTCTCTCGTAGAAAACATACGTACAATTTATTTGAATATATATAATATGATCAAACTATAATGCAGTCAATTTTGAAGTTGCATGTGATGGGTTTTCTGAGACAAGTAATTCCCAGATTCCACAATCTCATAAAACTAGAAAAGATATGCATATCTCTAAACAAACAACACCAGCAATTAATTAATGATTAATTAAGAAATCATTGATGGCTGCAATGACTTATCAAATAAAATACAATACAACACGCATTGCTTATATAAGATGAGTTAATTATATAATAATAAGGTAGCTTTTGTGACTTTTCGAACAAGTCATAGATGACAAATTGTGATCTTACTTGAATTTAATTATTAATTAAAAATTTATGGCTGAGTCATTGCCTTAACCAGGGAAAAACTAATTATAATCATAGAAGAATCTAATTATGGGAAAGATTCCGATTCCATTAAAAAATTAAACGTGGCAATCATAAAGAAATCCCAAGTAGACATGATTCAATTACTTGGAAACTAAGACTTTTACCCTTGGCTATTTTTTATTTTTTATTTTTTTAAAAAAATATATAATAAATTTGGTATTTTATTAATTAAAATATTCAGTTAGGTTTCTGCGACCTAAAAGTTCGTTGCATGTTAGTGGCTGCGTTTTGTACATATAAAAAATATCATTCGCTTCATAAAGTCAACGCATTGACGAATTTTCTCAATTTAAGCCCTTTTCGCTGAGTAGATACATACGTGGAATGTTACTACTTTCCAATTACATTGCGATTACGAAATCAATGACGTCAAAATTATTTTTTAAATTGTCATGGTGAATATTAAATTTTATTAACTTTTTATATTTATATTATTTAATATTTTTTATAATATTAATTTTTCGTACGACACCTGTCGAGCAAGCATGTGAATACTCTTTCAGTTAATTTCTTTTAATACATTTTTTATATTGTTCAATTTTTATTTTTTTAATTTGAACTAAGCTTATTTTGCATCATATATTAAAAAAATTAAAACATTATATATGGAAAATGATAATTTAAAAATAATCAAAGACTATATTAATAATTAAGAATAACATTTGTTTTCTTTAAGTAGAATGAATTTAATTGATAATAAAAGAGAGTCGTGATTTATTTACTTACGAATGTAATTTAATTGCTTGCTTTTATTCAAAAGTCAAGGGATTGTTCCATATTTATTTATATACATTATGATTTTTATGTATTCATTATTTATATTCATGAAA